TGTATACAGGTTCTAGTCACTTGAGATTCTAGTCAGTATCTACAAGCTTCTCTGCCTCGGCCCATCAGCACCCGCACCAGCACCAGCACCAGCACCAGCACCAGCACCAGCACCAGCACCAGCACGACCACGACCACGACCTAACGCTACCGCGACCACGACCACGACCAGCACTGCCAGCACTTTTCACTACCAGCACTACCAGCACTACCAGCACTACCAGCACTACCAGCACTGCCAGCACTACCAGCACTACCAGCACCAACCAGTACCACTACTACCACTGCTACCACACTACCACCACTGCCACTGCTACCACTGCGTACTATTAGTACAGGGAAACAAGGAGTGAGTGGTTAGCATTGCCGGGGCCCGCATCACATGTCAGTGGCGTGTCGAACCGTTGAAACCCGAGTCTGAATCCGAAGCAAGCAGTTCCAAACACAACCATGGTCCGAGTTTAGAAGGTCAGAGCATGAATGCGTGGAGATGTGATAGAAGAGTTCTGAACATGCTTGCCGAGCACTGTCTGTGATCCTTGCTGGCAAGGCCAGAAGCGATACGATCGATGGCTGCGCGCGTCAGCCTTGCAGCCCCAGTGCAGTTCCAAGGACAGCTGGTGTTTCCATGTCCACTGTGATTGCAGGAGCACGAATCCGGTCTTCAAGCCCTTCGCTCCGCGCGAAGCTTGGACAAGCCTTTTCCTATGCCGGCCTCTCGTCCATGGCATGCTGACTTCCATCCCAATTGGAGGCCTCCTGATGACGACGCCTTTGCAAAGCAGCCCAAGTTCTCCAAGAAGGCTTGCTCGCTTAGAGTGCAATGTCCTTGAAAGTTGTGCAGATTTCCACATAGGATGCAGACGGGCTTCTTCGACTCACAAAGCACAAAAGGCGCGCTGTCACGGTCGTACTTCTGGCAAAGTTGTCGACATTTTCCAGGAGCCAATGGCGACCGCTTTGGCTGCAGCCCCATCTCTGCAATCTTGTTATGACGGTGCAGAGGATTGATGCCAGGAATGAGCGCTGGAATTGCCAAGACAACTCCCTTCTCAACAAGGCCTCTCCGGGTCTGACGTCTGCGGGGCATTGGGCGGACATGGCCCATGTGGTGACCGGAAGGTGCTGATGCCGCGCCAGAAGCACATGTTTTCTCGAGCTCGGCTCTCAGCCTACGTTGGATCTGACGCTACTACGAACCAGAGGCATGCAAGACAATCGTGGCACCTATTTCTGGGCGTGTCAGATGTTGCGAAAGTGCCTGGGATCAGACACCATACTGCTTTGGGAGGAAGTTTGGAAGGCAGCTAGGGTGCTTTGGGCCATGGGCTCTTGTGCCCTTGCCGGTCCATCTCAGGTTCAGTCAGAAACGGAGCTTCGAAGGTTTTATGCTCGGTCAGGGGCTAAGCATACTGCAACGTGTGCGACGACTTTCAGGGAACTCTGTTGGGCATGTTGCCAAGGCACCCCCGATGGGATGCTCAGTATGAGAAGCTGGACATGCCTGAACCAGTCAGGCTCCACTGGGCTGAGGAAGAGCGAGGAAGAAGAGAGAGCGCTATCATCCGTTCACATGCCTTCAGAAGAGGCAGGCTAAGAAGATGGGAAGTCAACTCCGGATAGGGTCCGGGAGTTGGAAATCGGATGCGAGAATTTCGATCTGCCAGACCCGAAGACATAGACCAAACCATCGCTGCCCTGCCCCGCCCTGCTGGCTGCCCTGCCTGCCCGCCCTGCCTCCCTGCCCTGCCCTGCCCTGCCCTGCGGGCTGGAAGCTGGGGCTGGGGTGGCGGAGACTTGCGAGGATCCCCTTGGCCACTGGCAGGAGTGTGCCTCAACCGTGAGACATCAAAGGAGTGGCCACCACTGAAAGACTGAAAGGGCTGCGCCGGGATCTCGAAGAGGAGTGCCACAGCCGTGAACCCTCAGAGGAGTGGCTAGAACAGGCTAGAACTGGATGGACCGGGCATGACGGGGCCACAGATGTGAACCTGTTTCGGGGGAGTCCCCGAGCGAAGTACCGGAACACTGCCGACCGATATGCAAGAACAAGAGTTATGCATTCCAGAGGGAAGCCCGATCTCTCCAACGGCAGGGTGATTCACGCGATTCACAATGCTTTAAGAACTCGATTCTCATGAAGACCTTTATCTCATTTCGCGAAGGATGTGGATGATTGCGGATGCACAACAAAAAACACGGTGGCAAAAACCTGGCAGAGATCAGTCTCCTTTCTGCCGCTTTGGGTGCAGTTTCCTGTCGATGGTATTTCGCACAGCTCTGTTAAGTATGCATGTTCGCAAGAATGGCCGATGGGCCGAAGGAGGGGCGGGATGTTTAGAGGCACATTCGACAGGTAATTGCATATCGAGGATCAGCAGATGCCCACGTTACGCGGCACGACTCAGAACGCAGTATACTTCAAGCACCATCTAATCCGGACGACGAGGAGAGTGTCAGCAAAGGTAAATTCTCTGTTTCCTCTGCTCGCGAAACAGGGCTGTCCGATTCGCCGGACGACAGGAATTTACGACCAAGCCCTATCGTCGGACAAAGAGTGTCCTGTTTCCGACCTTCAGTATTCAGAGGAGAACTGCCTTTGTCAGCAACCGACCAGGCCACAAACGATGCTTACTGCCGACATCCCGCCTTTGCTGCCCGAGCGGCACTTGCCGAATGGCAGGTCCTTTCAAGGGATGTACATTTGAGCTGAGCTGCCTTGCACTACCATGCTTCTGGCTGAACTCTGAAACTGTAGTGTTGAGTCATTCACTCAGCACGGCCGGTTGGTGTAATCGGCAATGCAAATAGAAATTGCAGCCAGGATGCGAAATCCGCAGACGGGGCAGCAAGAGCAGTGGGACGAGCACTGGCTGCTCGGCATGATGTTCGGCAAGTTGGCACCATGTCAACATATAGCCATGAACATGCACTTTTCGCCTTTTCGCCTTGCTGAGGCAGCTGCCAAAGAGCGCCAGGAACTTGACTGCTGACCTTGAAGTTAGAGCAGACATGTTTTGTAGCAAACGAACAGCCGTCAGCCAATAATTAGGAGGATCATCTGATATTTCTTGGAGCTTCCGGATTCACCGTCACAGCTCCAGAATCGATGTTTGGCTGCACGGCTTTTGAAACACAGGCCCACTTGACGCGAAAGTACACACCAGGATCCATACACCTGCCCAGACCTTACACGACGAGCAGCGTCGATGCCTTCTGAAAGTCACCGTGCAAGACACTTCTGGATCTGTAGCCGGTTCCGATGTTCTTCGCTCAGGCGCTGCATGGGTCGTCCACCTGACCACCTCGTTCGGGGACGGGATGACGATGAGGCTCCTTGCCCGTCGTGCACGAGCTGTGTCGGTTATGGTTGGTTCAGCCGGAGGGAATTGACAGCACCATGCTATGCACTTGCTTCGAGGATCCTTTGATGTGAACAAGCCGTGGTAAGTCCCGCGGCTTGCTTCTATCGCAGAAAGCTGGCGACTGCCTGCGCAAAATAGCTGCAGACATGTACATAGGATGTTCTTTCTTTTTATTGTCTTAGTCGAAGTAACAATTGGTTTCACAGATTCTGGTGTGCTGCCAAGCAGCGCAAGCCGGTAAGATAAGAAGAACCGAAGGAGCTGGCTTAAGGTTAGCAGCGGCTGAATCAAAGCTTCTAGACCCCGCAGCATCGCATGTCAAGCGACACTTTTTCCTTGCCCCGCAACTGCTAAAGTTATCGTGAGCTGAGAATTGAGTTGGGCTATGTCCCAAACCCTGTCCGAAGGGGCGTCATTCTTGCTCAATGGAAAGCTGTATTGGATGGACTAACAGCCGAAACGTCGAAACGCCTGAGCACGAAATGATGGAGCCACAGAGAAACCTGCCAAGAGATGGGCAGCAACGCTTCTGCAGCCATGCAGGTCGACTTGCTAGTCGTTCACAATCCACAAGAAGACGCAGAGAAGCTACTGAAGCCACAGCCAACTTGCTCTTGTCCCCCCATCTGCATCAATGGCTTTTGCCGTTGCAGCGAGCTGAAGTGCTGGGTAGTTACGGGTAGTTCTTACATTGTCCAGCGAAGCCTGAGAGCTGGTTCCGAGGCACAGCGGGCCGGCTACGGCCGAAGTGGTTCTCGGTCGCCGCGGTTGCAGAAGCAGGTGGAGGCCAGTCATGAGAACGGCAAAGTATGCCGAACCAAACGGACGTTGCTATACGTTGCCATGTGGACAGTGCATTCGTTGATGTACTCCTGACATGCATTGCTAAGTGAACGACAGCTAATCAGCTGTAGCTCTCACGGCAAAGCTTTCGCCGTTAGAGCATGGACAAGGGTGTCGCGGGCGGGCTCGCACTCGCCCCCCGCACTCACTCTCACTCACTCTCACTCCCACTCCCACTCTCACGCTCACCCTCACCCTCACGCTCATTTCCCTCCCCCTCGCCCTCACCTCACGCTTTTGCTCGCCCTCACTCTCACTCTAGTGCGAACATAGCACGAGCTCGAATCCAGGAGATCCGACTGTAGAAATCAGTGTGTACTCTGCCTGGTGTGTTCCCTGCCTGTCAGTCGATACGGAGACAGATGCCTTCCATTGCGAAAGCTTCGAACGTTTCATGTCACGAGAAGAACGTTAAACTTGATTGAGGTCTTAGCAGCTGCCTCAGTGCGCCCCAAACTGCCTTTCCTGCGAACCAGCCGTGAATCCTTGCCCGAACAGATAGTCGAGCCATGTCGAGCCCACAATGTGGCGCAGCCTGATATTTCGGTCCACGGGGTGCTATGTTTTCTCGATGTGCACTGAGACATCATCTGAAGTAGTTCAGCTGTAGGAAAACTGACCGGGTCAATCGTTAAATCAACGACCGACCGAGAATCTCGCGGGGCGGTTTCTTCCATCGCTGCAAGAATGTTCAACCGTCTGCCCGATCCAACAAATGCCAGGTTGAAGCAGACCATGGTGGGTTCGCAGCCCGGCAGTGGCCCAATTCATCTAGGATGGCAATGTGTCGCTCTCAGGCCCGACGGATTGCCGTGCGACTTCAAGGGTGGCTTCAACGCTCAGTCAGCACCCCGTAGTTTGCGCTCTTCTGGGATTTTCGAGACGGCCGACAGGCCCGACAGGCTTCACGATGACAACCAGCGTTGCAAACAAGTGTTAGGCCCGAGCCCATGCAGAGACAGCCGAAACAAAAAGAGAATGACGGTGTGTTTACAACGGGGTTCTTTGGTCCTGGCCGGAAACTGGATGATATTTGCAAGTGAGGTTTCGAGATGCATCCACCACAAGAGAACGGGGGAACGAGCCCTGCCGGCTCTGGCAGCCGACTGCTTGCTGAGGATGCGCATGCAGCGGGACTTCTTGGCCCAGTTTCTCGTGCTCGCCACCAAGCGGTTTGTGGTGGTTGGAAGTGCGTTTCGAGAAGCCAGCAGTTCCCTTGCGAGAGGCCAGAGCAACCTCATTCTGCCAAAAGTCCGAATGCGCCCCGCGAGGCAGATACTGGTAGCACTGTGATGCATTCTGCCATGCCTTGGACGGTCCAGAGTCCAGAGGCTGCAGCTGGATTGCCGGTTGAAGCTGCGAAGGCCGGCTCTGCGCATCGCAGAGCCCCAGCCGGTACCCTAAACCCTAAACCCTAAACCCTAAACCCTAAACCCTAAAACCCTAAACCCTAAACCCTAAAACCCTAAACCCAAGAAGCCGGGCTGGGCGAAAGTTCGTTCGCGCCTTTTTCGCAGGTTTTGATGCTTTCCCCCGGCCCTGGCCCTGGCCCCGGCCTGTGCCTCCATGTCTGGGGGTTTCCGAAAATAGTACTCTTAATAGTAGGATCCTTATTATAAGGACCCCCAAAATAAGGCACCCCTTATTTTCGGAAAGTCCCCATGTGCCTCCAGCTGCTCCTAGCCGTCCTGGCCGTCCTAGCCAGCGCCATGTCTCAGGTGCACCCTGGCTGGGCTTGCCTGCTGGCGTTGTGCCGTGCTGAGCAAAGGGTAATTGCAACGGGTTCTCATGGCCTTTGAGTGGTGGCGAGGTTGTGTTCTTGGAGCGGTCTAATTCTAACCTCAGCTAAGATATGGGGCAATGTGCACGCCTGATCGAGCAACAACTCCGTCTTTACACACACTGGGAGGATGCCAGACTGTGCATCCCTCGATGTGGCTAGATGCAGGAAAAAAGGCGCCCAAACGAGGCAACGCCCACCTGAGAAGCTGTCGGCGATAACACCCTGCCGGGCCGGCCAGGACTAGCAGTCTTTGCGGCATGCAGGCACCCATTCCCGCGCAGGTCCACTGTCTCCTGCGCTTTCTTGGACTGGCACATCGCTCATCGTAGAGGAAACCTGCAAATGAAGGCTGAGATTAGGTTTGCGTACACTACGGCTCCCTCGCGTTTTTTGCTTTGTGTTGCCTCGTCCTTCAATGCTCGGACCCGACCTGTACGAACTCCCTGTGTCATGCATGTTTCAGGTCGCGGAGGCAGTTTGTATGTTCAGAACCTGGATTTCGATCACGTCTTGGTTAGGTTCATGGATGCTCCGGGGATGCCGGCAGTGTAGGCGCGCATTTGCCTCTGGTGGGACAGACCCCGACTTTTTTGCGGCCTAAGGGCACAAAGAGCTCGCCCCATTGGCGTGTGCCCTGCACGAAGTTGAGGCACTGCGGGGCTGAAGGTTCAGGACGGGCTTTGGTTGCAGCGCTGCTCAACGCTTTCGGCAAAACAGTGCAACTGAAGTTCCACTGCCCAGCAAACCCGTGCAAGCATCAACGGCCCTTGTGCGCAATTAAAACAAGCCAGGGGACTTTTGGAGGATTTGTGGCCACGTGCAGTCCGCATCGCAAGCGGTAGCAGCACCCATCTGGACTCCACCTCCTCTAAAGTGGACCTATCGTGGCCACACGGAGCAGTGCCTTTTGGTCAGATCTTCTTCAACTTTGTCCCGCATGGCATAGGCACCGGACAGCGGAGGGCGACGGCCTCGAAGTCGATGGAGCGACCGCCAAGAGCAAGATTGCTCCGATTCTTCGAAGAATAGACCCAGTCGACGCTGGAAGTCATGAGCTTCTGAATCCCGTTGATTCCCGTTGCATGACTGACGCATGCAACTTCCCATGGAAAGCTTGGGGAATCAGAGGCGGCTTGCAACAGAGGCGGTGGTAAAAGCATGCCAGGGCCCGTTGCGGACAGTGACATTCGCTCGCCTGTGGCACGCAGTCGGCGTAGACCGGCAAGGAAGTCTGTTGTTCAGTGTGGTGTGCAGTGCAGAGTACGCGGCGGTGTCTCCAATGAAAAAGATTCATCGTCGAGTCCGCGCAGTGAGAAACCGAGGCATGTGTAGCAGCAACGCTGCGGCTCTTCTCGCGACTTCTACCTGGCAGTGTGAGGTTCTGAGGTTCCCAAGTTTGGATGCACGGGGGGTCACGTGAGCCTGAGCGAGTAGGCTGAAAATACGGAGCAGATCTCACAACGTGCAGTCAGCAAATCGAGTGTGCTCCAGGTGGCTGAGGGCATGTGCGACGAGCTGTGCAAGCAGGCGTGTCACGTGCAGTAGACTCCAAGTGGCAGCAATATATTGCGAAGAAGTTCACTCGAGGCTGCGGCAGATCCATCCATGCCCGTGGAGCACAGAGCTAAAGCTTGTTGATCCCGTTGGACACTGTGCCAGACGAGACAGCTGTGATCAAGTTGAAGTGTCTTGAGAAGCTTTAGGCTGGATGCACTTGCAACACGAGTCGGCCTCGTGAGCTGTCCGGTTCCCTCCGCGGTGCCGTCGCTGCAGGCACGGAGCAGCGTATTCGATGGCCAGAAGACCTTCCTGAAACAAGTTCTAGAAGTGTTGTGCTTTAGGGAGGCTGTGGTGAGTCCATGGCGAGACAGTGGTGCTCTGTTCCGCACAGCGAGCTTCTTGTCGACGTTCTGGCTGTTTGGGCTCGAAACCCGCAGCAATGATCGCATGCTTTTTCATGACGTTTTGGCTGACAAGTTTTGCAAGATCCCTATCAAGTCACTTGCCTGCACCAGCTTTCGCACTGTGTCTGTGTGTGAGTGACACATCCGCCTTTGCTCACCTGGAAGTTCCAGGATGGTTCTTCTGTCGTTGGCTCCTGAGCGCGACCCGGTCAAGCTGTTAGTATCGTTTCGCGTTTTGGCATGAAGTTGTGAAGACCAGACGACAGTCTGCACGGCTGATGTCTCGTGTGCGTACGTTTCATCTCAAGACTCCCATGGTTAGAGGCTTTGTTGGGTATCGACGATACGGGAGCTGACCTACACGAGAAGGACTGAGGAAACTGCATCATCGATTCGTGACTCTCTGATGTGACCGGGTTAGCTTCTAGATTCTAGTAGCTCTAGTATTTTATTAACATTGTACCTTGCAAGGAGAAGGCAACGATCAGCTATTACCTTCGAGAAAACCGTTTTGAAGAAAGTGTGCGCCCCAGCATCGCGGCATAGAAGCGTGCAGCTTTCTGCAGGTGGATCAACACCGGCAGATTGCACCAGGTCGTGATTGTAGTAGGCTACGGCTTGCAGGGAACGAAATTCCATCTGCTGCACAAGCATTTTGAGCGATCTTTGCGCTCTATCTGCATCCTAGTTCTCGCATCTCATCCTGATGGTCAAGATCCGACATGCATGGGAGAGTGGTGCTAGCAGATCTAGCAGTGCGGGTTGTAGCAACAGTATCGAGCCTTCTCGGTGCCTGGTTGGCGCCTAAGCAGCCCGACAGTTCCAATTCTCGATGACTTCGCACCTGGCCTTAGGCGCTCCACCGGGGGCCGAGAGCGCCAGGACCGCTCCAGGCAGTTCAAATCAGGAAGATTTGACGGGTCAGAGATTTCTTGTAACGCACGTGTGGGGGTACTTTGTTGCTGAAGCTTTGCTTTCGGCTCGACCGCTTTTCGACTTTCTCTCCTGACCCTTCGGGCTTTTATCGCTGTCGCGCAAGGTCAATGTTGAGGTCATCTTGCTGCACCTTAGTAGATTTTGGCTACCACGTCGTTAACCCGAAGTTTTGTATAACGCACGCGTGCGTGTAGGAACAAACTCCCGCGGTCGCCCAAACTTGCTTTCGGCTCGAACGCTTTTCGACTTCCCACCCTCGCCTTTCAACTTCATCGGCCTTACCTACGGCCGGCACTCGCCATCACTCGCCCCACCTGGCGGTGACCTGAAAAGTCTAAGTGCGACCGACGGGAACCAACACCTCGACCGACAAGGGGCACTGCACCCCAGTAGATTTTGGCGAACACTTCGCTAGCTTGGAGTTAGTTGCTCAGTCATCCTTTGCGGACGACGTGTTGGTGGGGGGGGACACAGGCTTCGTAAGGCCGTATTTTCTTGCATAGCCCGGAAAGCTGAAAACCCGCAGCTGGGGCTCACATTTTCTGGGCCTTTGCGTGTCGTTCGTTGCAGGCGAGTCTTCGCAGAGCTCGCGTGGTCGGGATGCAGCATGCACCCTCACGAGCGAGAGTGGAATCCTCAATCGCTGCAAAGCTCGATTGCAAGAAAGGGGAACAGTGCCCGTCGCTTAGGCCTTCGCAGGCGCGGTACGAGCGATGCAAGCCCAGAGAGAACGCTGGACCAGCAGGCCGAGGCCTCTTCCATGACGAAAAGAAAGTGCAAAGCAGCAAAGTCAATTAGACCTCCGCAGCCATGTGAACTTCTTGCTGCAGGACGAGACAGACTCGAGCCCCAGGCAGAGCTGGGCTTCGGCGGCTCTTCTGAGAATTCCGCAGCTCGCCGCCGCCGCCGTCAGAGATTTCGTTGCAAGGACCGGACGCCGCGGAGCGACTCGCCGGAGACCCCGCGGCCTGAGGTCACGAAGGCCGCGGATGCGTTCGGTGCCTCTTGTCTGTCTGGTGCTTAGTAGGGAATGGGGGAATGGATCCCTATGATAGTCCCTTAAGGTCCCTTATAGTAGTACCTATAACCCATTCCCCCATTCCCTACTAAGCACCAGACAATTGTTTTGCAGGGTCCCTTGCTAGCTTGCCTTTGCCTGCAGGTTCCTGCGCGAGAGGCTGCACCTGCCAAAGCTGCGAATCCAGTGACGGTGTTCGTTGGCAGCATTGGGGCTGTAGCGTCGCATCGCCACGGTCTTGGCGGTCCATCCCCGACCTCGACTCAAGTGTCAGGTATGTGCGGTCATTGAATGGCAAGTTGCTATTGGAGCTACAGGAAACACGCACTGGGCTCAGAGTTCATGAGTTCGGCTTCACATACGGCATGCAGGGCCTGAGCCTCCCCCTTTCCCCCGGCCCCATCCCATGGTATCCCCTCCGCCCCCCGTGGCATGCTGGTTGTGTGATCTTGTTTGGGTTCTTTGCCCAGTGTTGGGTGGTGCCGCCACTTGTCAATCCCGTTGTGTCGTGTTCTGTGGTGATCCTGTGAGTAGCCTTTTTGTGGCTCGTTCTCCCCGCTAAAAGTTGATATAGGTATGGCTACAGCTACTTGTTATAAGTACTGTCATTGGGCTTTTTTTATGATTATTGCTTTCCTCACTCACTTACCGCGTCTACTCCGCTTCGCTCTGCTTCGCAACTTGTCAAACTTTATTTTGAGGTGCAGTCAGTTGGCACATCCCAGCTTCTGGGTGCTTGAACAGATGAAGCAAGAACTCTGCTAGCCTCATAAAACAGGGTACATGTTGCACCCCGGTGCCTGCCCATTACCGTCATAACCGGCCGTAGCTGTTGGCCCTCAGCAGGCACTGTGAACAGTCATGGCCCCCTTATGTCTGCTTCAGGCCCCGTGAAGGCCCAACCATTTCAAAGTTTCAAGCTCTAGGATCTTGTGGGTTGGAATCTTACCAGAGCCCTTAGGTTAGAATGAGGGTGCTGACGCAGATCTGTAGATGCATTTGTTCTCTGGCATTGTCATTCACAAGTGCAAGGCAGAGGATCATGCGCATGCACAAAGTGTTCGTGTGCGCGTACACGAAAAGTGTATGTGTATCCGGGTACGTTTCTGCATTGCCGAGGTTACCGGCATCTCCTCGTATTGCCCTTGAAGCACTTCGTTTGTGGTCTATTGCATATTTGTCCGAATACATGCCACCTCATCTATGAACACGACAAGCTGGGACTGGATGAGAAGAGCCTGGGCTGCAAGTTGTTATAGCCCAGCTTGAACAGACGCCGGGCCAGGTAACTTTTCAGCCCAAACCCAAACCCAAAGCCAACCCAATTGACCCCGCCCAGCCCAACCCAAGCCCAGTTCAACCCAACCCCACCCAAAACCGCACCCAGTTCAACCTGTTTCAATCCACCTCAATCCAACCCCACCCCACTCAACCCAACCCAACCAAGCCCCTACCATCCCGAACCCAACCCAATTCAACAAAACTCAACCCAGGCGCGTGCATTCTGGCTGTTCTGCCTAT